TGATGATGTGTATATATATAGGATTAGTGGGTTAGTAAATAAGGTTGGTTATTTGTATATGTATCCCTTACATCATGGGTATTTGTGAAAATACCCCACAAATCTTAGTACTTATGAAACTATCCCTCAAATCATCAACTTTAAAAAGTACCGCTAAAATCAACAAATCATTAACTTGGTGCTAAAATTTTGACTCTTTTGTTAATAGTTTTTGTTAGGTCTTGTATTTTGATGATGATTTACAAACCCCATTATTGGTGCTAATTGCTTGCCAAGTGATATGATGAATGATGTATTTTATCAAGCAATTTAGTGCTACTGTTGGGGGTTGGATGGAAATTGCACCATAACGATGATATCTGTGGAGGTGGAGGCAAATTGATGAAGAAAAGCGCTCAAGTGCAACATATACAAGAGGAGCTTCATCAACAAATTAGCAAATATCGAGACTCAAGACTTGTATATATATGTGAGTGATATTTGCATTTTTATTTTCTCTCTAGGTCATAATGTATGCAAGAAATAGAGTAGATAACATTTGAAGCAATTGGGGTTCACATACACACGTTTCTAAAACCGTATTTTTTGACCATTTTGAAAAATGATAATTTTTCACGATTGGGAAATGATATTTCAAAAATTTCTTCTCTAACATGTTTATATTTATGTTTATAAACATTTCACAAAGTTTTATATTTTTTGGAATTTATTTACGATTTTTAAAGCACCTTTGAAAATTATGTTTTCTATTCAAATCTGGGTTGTACACGGTTATCAATCGACTGACACTATGCATCGGTCGACCGATAAACTATTCGGCAATTGCTGAAAGTCTTTGTTCAGTCGACCGAAGCAGCCCATCAGTCAACTGATGTTGTTCATCAGTCGACCGATGAACTGATCGGCAATTGCTAAAAGTTTATGCTCAGTCGACTGACTCTTATCAGTCAACTGAAGCAGCTCATTAGTCGATTGATGGTATTCAGTTTGAGCAGCAGCCATCGGCTAGCTCATCAGTGGACTGACAATACTGTAATGGCTAGTTACAGTTTGAGTTGATTTTACTGGATTTTGTGATTTGCTCGGGACTTGGGCTGTTGTTTGGGGTTCCTATATATATCCTACAACCTTCATCACCTCAGTATTCATGCAAGCAAAGAAAAATCTCTAAGTTTTGTTTTTCTGTGATTTTGAGCTCAAACTTTTATTTCATTCTCAAGTGTTTCAAGTTTTGGTTTTCAATTCCACATCACACAAACCCCTGAGCTTCAAATTGATTATCTCTTGATCCTTGCCATAGGATTATTGTAAGAGAGTTTCTTTCATTCATCTTATATTATGTGGAGAGCTTGATCTCGAGGAGATCATTGTGTGGATTGTGAGATCTCGAGGAGATCGTTGTGAAGAAGTTACGGCTTCCAAACCGGGTTGTGATTAGTGGATTACCATCGGGAGAGGTGTTTCGGGACGTAGGTTGAGAGGATCGAACCTCGTGAACACATTGAGGCTTCATTTGGTTAACTATGTTCTAACCCTCTCTCTCTCTCATTTATTGCCTTATTGTTATATTGTGTCTTGTGTTGCATTGAATTTTATTAATTACACATTTATTATTTGATTACCCTATTCACCCCCTATAGAGTAATTTCAGTTTTAACCCATTCAAATATGAAGGATTATATTTTTAGACCTTCAAATTTTATTATCAAAAATAGTTGAATGAGATGAAAATCTTGGTTTAAGTAAAGATAATCTTTCTTACTTTTAACTTTGTCATCATCATTCAAATTTTTCATCAATTAAAATTTTGGACGAGACGATAAATTTAGTTTAACTAAAGATTATATTTCTAAATTTGAACTCTATCATCATCGTTAGGATAGGATTACAATGTAATATTCAAAAGGGTCAAGCATAACATCGAACTTATAAAAGTTTTCCCTAAATTTACACTTTTATAAGGAGTATGAAATAATGCATACTTAAATCTCACATGATATCGGAACATCGCATACCCTTCGGGTCTTACTTCAAAGAAACATCATGACTGTCCTTGCCTCCCATCGGAAACTCGTTCATGACCAAATTTTTAATGAGTTGATTATCAATTTGGATCGAAGAAGGATGGGTTGCTTGATTATTTGGTTTGTTGATGCTGAGGATTATGTGGCTTCATAAGGTTATAGGATGATGGAGTTTGGGTTGAAAACGAAGATGATTTATATATATGTATATTCATGTATGAATGTATTTGCCACGAGGAGATACAAAATTATATGGATACTTACAACATTAAAGGAGACTATACTACAAATTGGAGGGCATTTTCGAAAGAAAAGTTTTAACACCCTTTACACTTTAGTGCCCTTTACACTTTAGTGTGTGTGCGTCGTGATACTGTAAGATGGTAAGATTAAACCTTATCATGAGATGGACTAACCGAGCCATCAAATTCATGATCCGTACCATACATCTTGTCCAAAACATCATCACATACATATGGTCAAATTTTCCCATAGTATGAAGTCTTCTAGAATATGAATTAAATTAGTTTAATATATTGACTTTTCTGATAGCTTAATAACCACCACTTTGCCCAAAGATTAAATAACAATTAAAATTTTAAAATAATAAAAGTTTACGTGTATATGTATGTATATGTATGTATGTGTGTCTGTACATGTGTGTGTATGTATCTATATGTACACCCCCGTGCCGTGCACGCGGACGAGGCCTCACCGTCTCAATAAATAGACAAACCCTAGCTCGCTCCCCTCTATCGTCCTCTCGCTCGCCCGAACAGCTAATAGGGGACGAAAAGAAGAAGAAGGAAAAAAAGAAACCCTAATTTCTCGCCGACGAGATGAATCCCTACGACATCAGATACTCCGATCCTTACTCATACAGAGAGCGAAGGAGGCGATCGTCCTCCCGTCTCCTCCGCTTCCCTTCAACCCGCCTCTCGCCCCGGGTCTCGTCAGGGTAACTGTTCGCTCGCTCCGGCGTCGAGCTCATCCTATCGGCCCGCATGGCGGTAACGCCACGACGCCCGCCCTTTCCGTCCGGCGACCGCGCCGCGGCGGCGGAAAGGGAGCTTCGATTCCGGACTGTTGTGGCCGCGCGGCGGCGCAGGTTTTTCCGGCGCGATCGCATTTGGTAGTCAATGGTGGTAGAAGCGGCGGAGTGAAGGGGAGGGGGAGTGAGGGAGGGAAAGTTAGAGTGGGGCAAGGGGGAGAAGGGGACGAGCTTACTAGATATTCTTCGCATCTCGAAGGCTAGTAATTTTGTGGGCTGATTCCTTGGAGAAGATTATTTCTCCAGTGGGAGAAGTTGCTTGCCGTACGAGGCCGATTGACCGGAGCCGGGATGAGGTGGCGGCGTATCGGAGGATGCGGGATATTACGGTCGAGGGCCGGGATGTGCCGAAGCCCATTAGGTTTTTCACCGAGGCCAATTTCCCAGGTATATGACCTGTTTCTCGTTGAAATTTAGTGGTTTTTGTCTTATTAAACCCTAAATTCTTCATTAGCTGTATATTAAATGACTCCGTAGTATCGTTAGACTCTTGTGATTAATACATTTGAGCATTTTTTTAAAGGAATATGAAGATTAGGGTGTCTAATATAGTTTGAAGTAAGAAAAAATACAGTTTTATATGACAAAAGTGGGTGTAAATTAGAAATGAGATTCGGGGTCTAATGTACTTTCAGAATTCAGGGTCCAATTTGACGACACCCCTAAATTTTGTCATTTATGATGTGCACTTTATCGATTAGAAATGGTGCTTGTGTTAACTGTGAAATGCCTGTTCTATTTTGCCAGAGTACTGTCTTGAGGCTATATCAAAATGTGGATTTGTTGAGCCAACACCTATCCAGTCTCAAGGATGGCCTATGGCTCTGAAGGGAAGAGACTTAGTTGGTATTGCGGAGACTGGTTCTGGAAAAACATTGGCATATCTTTTGCCGGCACTGGTGCATGTGAATGCGCAGCCACGATTAGGTTAGTCTCCATGATGTCACTTTGATGCTATATTTGAATTGCTGTTGTAGATGCTGAAGTAAACTTATGTTGTTATTTCATAAATCTTGCAGCTTATGGTGATGGCCCAATCATACTGATCTTAGCACCTACTAGGGAATTGGCCGTGCAGATACAGGAAGAAGCAAAAAAATTTGGTTCACATTCAAATGTTAGAAGTACATGCATCTATGGAGGAGCACCAAAAGGTCCACAGATTCGTGATCTTAAAAAAGGTCAGACTTCTGATTGCCTCTTTGATGCAGTTGAAAACCATTGTATTTTCTTTCTAAAGTTTATAAATTCTGCGTGGCTCAGTGAAAATATTTAAAGCTATTTATGTTCGTACAGGGGTTGAGATTGTCATAGCAACACCTGGTCGGTTGATTGATATGTTGGAAGCTTGCCATACAAATTTACGCAGAGTAACATATCTCGTTTTGGATGAAGCCGACCGTATGCTGGACATGGGATTTGAGCCCCAGATTCGGAAAATTGTCTCACAAGTATGACCAATCTCGCTTTTAATTTTGATTAAATTTTGATTAAATTTCTTCTTAATTATTCTAATGCTACAAAGATAAGGGAAGGCTACTTTTCTGATAGAAAGTTGCCGTTTACTGCTAGTAAACCATATGTTGACAATCAGTAGTTACTTTATTATGGGGACAAAAAATTCTTGAACCACTTCCTTTCTATCTTTTAGTGTGTGTATGCAGTATGCATGACTTGAATATTGTCACGTCCTTTGATCTTTCAATGTTTGAGAAACTCTTCTTGTGTGTCATTGGTAGCATATCTAAGTCTAATAGTTCTTCAATTAGTTCCCAGATAATGTTCACTACTGTCTGTAATTCTTGGGCATTGAAATTCTGCTTGGGAAGTGTGAAAATATTTCTATATATTCAGCCTTGATAGTGTTATTAGAACTCATATCGCAAGTTATTTATGATCGCCTATAAGTTTTTTCAGGTCAGTGTTTGCAACTCTGAAACAATTTCAAGGGAAATTATCTGATAAGCTATAACACCCCTTGGAAAACCTGTGATATCTGTATTGTTGTGTGATATTCTCATTGCTGAGGTCTTTTGCTGCATAAACATATGTCTGCAACTTTTATATGTACTTCATGACCAATTTTCAAATTGCTAGTTAATTGGAAATGGTTTTGGATTTTGCAGATACGCCCTGATAGACAGACATTGTATTGGAGTGCCACATGGCCCAGAGAGGTCGAGAGTCTGGCAAGGCAGTTTTTGCACAATCCGTACAAGGTGAACAACACTTGTCGTTTGATGCTACTTCCTGAGGATGATTCCATGTTTGCTGTATAATTTAGTCTTTCCCTTGAAAAACCACTACTATTGTTCTATTTATAATTGGCTTGTAATTAACTTTGTAGGTAACCATTGGATCTCCTGAACTGAAAGCCAATCAATCAATAAACCAGATTGTCGAAGTCATGTCGGACCATGAAAAGTATCCCAGGTATGCATAGAAGTTGTTGAGAAACTGTGGATGCATAAAGTGCATCACCAGATATGGATAGCAGTGGAAGGGTTTGTTAGTGGGAAGTATATAGTGATAAGGTCTGGAGTATATTATAATTTGATGAGATTATTTTCTGATTTATTTTGCCCCTTTTCTACAGGCTGGTGAAGCTGTTGGGGGAGTTGATGGATGGCAGCAGGATATTGGTATTTCTCGAGACAAAGAGAGGATGTGACCAAGTAACTCGACAGCTTAGAATGGATGGATGGCCTGCTCTCTCTATTCATGGTGATAAAGCGCAAGCAGAAAGAGATTGGGTTCTGGCAGAATTTAAAAGTGGCAACAGTCCAATAATGACTGCCACTGATGTAGCTGCACGTGGTCTTGGTAGGCCATTTTGTGCTATTAGTTGTAGAATCTCTCATTTAGTTTAATTCTCAAGGATGGCAAGTTGATGGGCTTCTGCTGGCCAGTTTCCAAGTGAATTTGGGTTGGTGCGACGACTGACGAGGTGCCTTGATGACAAAGGTAGTAACTTTGTTCTACCCGTTAATCTGACTTGAGTGTAAGAGTTGGCAGTGTTACCAGAACCACACGACATTTCCCCCTTTTTTCCAAAGGATTTTAGCATACCAATCTTGTGTCTTCTGCAGAAGTGTTAATCTGACCCTTTAATTCATGTTGATTTGTAGCCACACAACTTTGTGTTTTCAATTTACAGGCAACCCTTTGATCAAATAGTTAATGGAAATTTAATTGTGGTGAATATCATATTAGCTGACTTAAATTTTAAGCTACTTGATGTATTTAGTCTCAACTTATCCATTTTGGCGCCATCTTATCAAGAGTCTCCCTTTATATTATCCGCACCAGTTCCTAGTTTAACCAGGTAGCAGGGTTACGTGCATGCCAACATGGAAGAGCAAAATGTATAACTAAATATAGTTTTATTATGCATATTAAAAAGGGAAAATAAGCAAACAATGCCTTATTTTCCAAATAACGGAGGAAACAAAGTGGCATATAGTAAATATGCACGATGCCAGGTAGAATATGCTATTTTGTGGAAGTAAGGGTTTTGCTCAAAATCTAGCTTCTGTTAGTTTTAGGATACTCATACCATTGGATCTAGCTCGATAAAACATGCTATTGCTAATTCAAATTCTTAATCTGATAGATTGTTCATACCAGCAATGGATGTTACGCATTGCTTGACACATGGTAATGACCTTCCCTCATGAGGATAATTCTGAGCAAGGATATGCAACTTCATGCTGCCTGGTTGATTTATAAGGATTAGTTGAATGATTAGTTTGGATATTCTTCACTTTTTCCTGCTTGCAGTTATTTGGAGAAATTTTGTTCTCCACCATTGCTCATGCTGTTAATTTTGTAGTTCTTTATAAGATATTTATATTTAACAGGAGCAATATTCATGAATCGCTCAGTTTCCAATTCTATAAAAATCATAGTAACTCCTCTCTCTCAGTTGAAATTGCATGAAGTTTGCATATTGCTTATGTTGCATAGTGCATGTAATCCTTGGTAGTTTATGCTCTGGATGTATGAGAACACATTAATATCTCAAATTTTTAGCATCTAAAATACCCATCCTTGACCCTCTTTTGGCTTTGCTTTTTATTAGCGCATACAACATGTGTTAGTTTTCTATCTTTTCACTCTGTTAGAGTTCTAGTCTTGGGGTATCCTAAGAGTAGGCACTTAATTTTTAGGCCAAACAATAAGTCAGCTACTGGTATCACTGCCAATGGACCTCTACCAGCTTGGTTTAAAAGGGCATTCTTTAATTCTCTTTTCCATGTTGTGTCCTCTTACACTCTTTTCAATTTGGCACCTCATATTCGTTGAAGCATATGTTACAATGGACGTAAGTGATGGAACTGCAGCATTTTGGATCTTATTTGCTTCATAGAGCTTTTCAAGCTTTTTGAGAAGATAGACATGTATGATGGGAAGAAAGATGTCTATAACAGAGAAGGGTGTAAATTACCAATATTTTGAGTGCAGATGAGGTTTAAGTGCTGGTATACTTCTTTCTACTTCTTTGCTTCTTGTCGAAAGTAACAGCTAAATGTAAGCTCTCACCACCCATCACGGTTATGCGAAGCTGGTTCAGTTATTTTTGCAAAGCCCCATCGACCCTGGTAGCGACAAATGCTCTACCTTTTTATAGCTTGTGGCTCCATGCTTCTTGTACTTCCTAATTTCATTCGAAGGCCATACAAGTTGGGCATGACTGTGTCCTTGATTATGTATATATCATGTGATACACGGGATCTCAACAATATTGTATAGGTGTTTTGATTACAGGATTCAAATTAAGGGCAGTGTCGCATTATCCCATCCTTGTGGAAAGAGATTATGAGAAGAATATACTTGGAAATTCAGCATAAACATGTTTCTAACATACGATTCATCTTTCTTTTTCTCTGGTTGCAGATGTGAAGGACATAAAATGTGTGATCAATTATGATTTCCCATCATGCCTTGAGGATTATGTTCACAGGATTGGACGGACTGGGCGTGCTGGTGCTAAAGGAACTGCTTTCACCTTCTTCACTCTTTCAAATGCAAGGTATTCCAAGAGTCTCATCAAGATTCTTCAGGAAGCTGGGCAGAGTGTCAGTCCTGCACTGGCTGCATTGGCTAGATCATCTGGCACCACGGGAGGTACTATATCATAGCTTTTTGAGAACATTCAATTATTCCCACGAACAAGGACACGGTATGGGACAACAAGATTTTGGTGCACATGAATGCAAAATCATAATAGGGTTGACAATACAAATATGTTTTGACAGTCATAGAATAAGATCATGTATAGATGTTTATAAAGAATTATGTTATGGCAATAATTGCATGTTACAAGCTCAAGCCTCCTAATGATAAATATTTTGAATACTTTTATACAGACTCTAGTCCCCAGTCAAATAAACCATTATGTAAACGCATTTTAGTAGGAATCAAACAATCTCCTAACCATAGAGGATATATATTCAGAGTATTTCACGGTTTAGATGTGTCGGAAATAGGTACATAGAGGATGCAGGTCTGCTCTGAGTACCTAATAAACATACTTGGTGTCATTTTCAGTTTTCACTAGAGCATAAGATAATTAACATTATAATATTTATAGAACCGTTTCTGCTTTTGTTGATTCACTTCAGTCTGTTAGTTTTAACACACCTGCCACGAGCTTGTTCACATTATGATTGATTGCACAGTGATACGAGTCGTCGTGCGAGCACCTTTGATCGCGGAATTATCAAAGGTGGTTGAGAAGAAAATAACAAGAACACAAGGATAATTAAGTGGTGGCGAAGGAAAATCCCTTCTCTAGATTATGAGAATTAAATAGTTTACAATCTCTCACAATCTCACTAGAATTGAAGAACAATCTCTCTCAATTCTCCAATACAATCTAATCTTTCTTGATTATTTTAAAACCCTAAAACAATCCCTTATATCTGTGTAACAACGTGGATGACAAAGTGGTAAATAACCAAGCCCAAACCCTACAAGAATTCCTGCAAACAAAAACCCAAACTGATCAGGAAACCATCGATGAGTCGACTCATGACACATGAGTTGACTCATGACAGTCATGAGTCGACCGGTCAGAAACTTCTGACAAAACTGCTGGGCTTCGTGAGTCGACTCATGACGGTTATGAGTCGACTGGTTAGAAACTTCTGACAAACGGCTGGGCTTCGTGAGTCGACTCATGACAGGCATGAGTCGACTCAACCTGATGAGTCGACTCATGTGCATATAGGAGTCGACTCACGAGCTTAAAACTGGACGCTTCGATTCTTCGATTCGCTGTCTCGTTCCACGCTTCGACCTGCGTTCCACCGTATTGTTTTACACCTCTATTCTCAAGTTACCATGAGAATCATCTATCCTCAAGCTTCCACGAGGATCGTTAAGTTCCGAAGAGGAGATACACCCATATCACACAGTTAGAAAGGGGGCTTTGGAACTTGAAAGTTGTTTATATTGGTTGACAGACAACAAGAAATATGCCTAACTTACATGGGAAGTGGATGCATAATATCGTCTGAGATTATTAGTTACTAGCTGCAGGAGGAGTTTGTATGAGTACATATATTTTTATGTTTCTTGTAACCTTCTGATGTTGTTATTCTTTTAGGTTCCGGTGTTAATTTCCGATCAAGGGGACGAGGAGGAGGACGAGGAGGATTTGGCAATAGGGTATCTGGTTCCAATACAATTCCAATTGCACGAGGAGGTAAAAGGTGGTAAAAGAACCTTACCATACTTTGGCTTCTCTGTTTGGGGAATTCTGGTGCTTATGTACTTTGGGCTTGTAATCACCAATTCATTGGAAATGGTCGTATTATATTTTGAGTATATTATTGCCACAATAGAATTTAATTTATTTCAATGGATGGATGAAATAGACTGCATCGGTGGGATCATTTTTATATGTGAGATCCGCGAATTATTGTGCATTTTTTGAAACTAATTTCATATCTTAGACTAGTTATGTTTGACTAATTGAATGCTGCTGCTTTGTTCCACTGTTTAGGGGGTTTTATCATGTTAAATTGAAGCAGATTGGAAATGATGAGTTTGGCCTTTTCTGTTTCTGTCGATTATTGTCTGTATTATTGATGACTCTTGATGCAGATGTGACCTACAATGATGTGGTAGATGATCTTATAACAGTGAACTGCACTTTGCACCATTGTTACAGGCTAAACATTAGGGGTTGCATTTGGTCCGGATGCGGCTCAGATATGATACCTGGATATGATAATTATCATATTTATTTATGTCTGCTTACTCATCACGGATACGGATATGTACATATCTAGGTGAGAGAAATTCATATTCATATCTGCTAAAGTTGAGTATGAATATTTCGATGGGGATCTGAATGTTTTATTATAAAATTGTAACTATATCCTATTAGTGATGGATGTGAGTAACTATATCAGTATTCTAATGGATACGGTTATATAGATATTTTTTCGAATATAAATATGGTTTGGCACACCCCCTACTTCTAAGCAGGGTTTCAATATAATTCCATTCACATATAATAAACCGCTTACTGCGTTCAGAAGCCGCCGACTTCAATGCTATGCTGCCTTATTTTATCAGCTAGTCTTTTTTATGAGGATGATTGGAAAAAATGGATCTTGATAAGAATGGGTGTGTTATCTTATTGCCTAGTAAATAATGAGTTTAGTTTCTTCAATAGTTAGCTAAAATATTGTTTGGACCATTTTTTTCCGGAGTACAAGTGTTCACCCTAAATTTCCGAATGGCGTCTATGTGTCAGTTGAAAGTAAATAAACTGATGTTTTAATTTTCACGGGTTTTTAAATATAAGCCCCTTACATTTTCCATAACTCTCTATCAATCCCGCTAACATTGGAAATTGCATTATTGGTCTCTAAAATCCTATAAGGTCTTGCAAAATGGCCTATACAAAATGGTCTGTTTGTTATTTTTTCAGTTAAGTGCCCAATCATGGTTGGGTTAACTCCTAACTTAACATCTGCTTTTACCAAACTATCCCTCCATGATGTCTCAAACATTGGAGGGGAAGATGATAGCTAGGTTAGAGGTTAAAAGGATTACATAGATTTTAGAGGATTATTGCCATAGTGAAACTCAAGAGTCGGTTAGGGTTTTTTTTTCTGATTGTTATGGGGGAAGGACTCAAAATGGGTCTTGACTGTTGCGGAAGAAGAACTCGAATGAGTTTTGGGCTTTTATTTAAAGCGTGTATGTCTGGGCTTAAACCCATTAAAGAATGGGTTGGCGGGCTTAAAAGAGGGGTGAAACAGTCAATTTGCCATACATTGTTAGATTCGACGGAAATATCCCCTCAAATCTATCTTGAGTTAGCCAAAAGGGACCATTTGGCAAGGCCGTGTAGGATGCGAGGGATCAATATGACGTTTCCAAGATTTGAGGAACTAATACGGAATTACCGAAGATTCAAGGGACTCATATCTTTTTAAAAAAGCCCTTATTTTTAATATATCTATGATCTATGATATAAAATGTATTTAAAACTTAGATTTATAAGTCAAAAGAGGGGGGATAAAACTACAAAGCACCACCACCCCTCGGGTGGGACACCTGGCTAGCGCCCACATGGGGGATGGAGATCTTCCCAGTGGTCAAGGGTTCGATTCATGTTGTCGAATTCATCTGGTCTCCCTGGGTTTAAGGGCGGGGACGGAGACCTTGGGGTTTTACTGGTCACTTTGCTCAACCTGTTGTATGCTTACCGGTTCGCACCTGCCCCCCACGCTGTTCGCCCAGCCAGCTGGGGATAAGCCTCTGGTATTAATGGTAGCTCTTTGCAGAGGTGGGATGGATGTGGGATTCAAACCAGGGCCATGGCGGACTCGGAAGGAGTTAAAGTTGAGCGGAATGACCGTGTTTCCCTTGATAATAAAAAAAAGGGGTTTTTATCTTTAGGTCCATTTGTTTACTCCCATTTATCTTTAAACCCAAGTTCTATTATTTGTATTTTTAAGCCCAATTCACTTTTGGTATTTGTCTTTAAACCCAATTACTTGTATTTATACAGAATGAATGTAAAAACCCAAAATACCCCTTTGATTGGCCCAATAAAACCCAGTATCTCTCTCATCTTCCTCATTTCATCTCACAGCCCTAAATTGAAAAAACGAGATACCCTTTTCGTCGTCGCCCGTCTCCAGCCGCCGACGCCCCGTTCTAGCCGTCGCCCGTCTCCGGCGTCGATGTCCCTGTCCCTCTCTCTCCAGCTCGTGCCTTCCCATTTCCGTCATCTCCATAAATGCGTCCCTCTTCAAAATTCTGATGATCATGTCCTCTTGCTCTTCTGGTAATTTTCCCCCCTCCTGGGTCTTCTTCAAGCCATCGATTCTGCTTTGAAAACCTTTCCTCCCCACCAATTATTTTATTGCTCTGAACAATTATTTAATTAATCGGTCGTGCGCGGTGAACATATTTGAGAGGGAGCTATTGAGGGGGGTCGGGCTTGGTGAATGGCTCTGACGCGCGCCATTTGATGGTCTGGAGCTCTTGGTCGCTTGGAGCATTGTTCAGGTTATTATTATTATTATTTATTTATTTTCCTTTTTACGGGTGTTGTTCAATTTTGACGTTCAGTTGGTGGTGCTTGCTAATTTTGTCATGTCGCATCAATTTCCTCCATTTGTGAAATTATTAGCTGCTATGTTTCGAAATAAAAAGCGCTTTTGGGCACAGGTTCTTATCACGGAGGTGGATATTTGGGATAAGTTGCCTTTTGAAAAGGTGGTTTGCTAATTTTTTGCTGTCTAGATAAAGCCCCGCCGCATGCTTAATTAATTTTTCGTTTGGGGTGGGGGGGGGAAGGATTCTTGATATTTGACCCCAAAACTATATATATTCTGGTGTTACTGCTATAAAAAGAGAAAAAAATCGATGAGCACAGCAGGATGTCGGCACCTAATACATATGCTTCGAGCCTTGGTGAATAAAAATGAGGAGAGCACATTTTTCATGCTAATGTAGTGTTCACTCAGATATAGATTATCAACAAGTGAGGAGTCGTTGATTTTAGTGTGGGCAAAATTTCAAACCAATATCTTGTAGTTTCTTAATATTTAGGTTGGTCGATCATATGTTTCTTATATCCATGAGTTAGTGAAGTTAACTGAAAACTTTAACTTTCTGTGATTAATTATCATCTTCGATAGCCACTTGAGGAGGCTGAACTCTCAAATATCACACAATTATACCAGAAACTATGACAACCAATAAATGTAAGCCATTCATTGTTCAGTAAAGAGCAAGGTGGGCATCACTAACTTGAGGGAAACATGTTTTGTGTTCAATTCTGTTTTGATAATAAATATAGATAAGTTTATCCAAACAGAATCCTACTAAATGTTAAAACATTGAACTTAAAATTATTATGTTTTGTTGATCAGAACTTAAAATTATTATGTTTTGTTGATCAGAACTTAAAATTATTATGTTTTGTTGATCAGAACTTAAAATTATTATGTTTTGTTGATCAGAACTTAAAATTATTATGTTTTGTTGATCAGAACTTAAAATTATTATGTTTTGTTGATCAGCGCATGATGACTAATTAAGTACATTTTCAACCATATAAATTACAGGAGGAGCTGATCAAGGAGCTCGATTTGATTCTCGAGAGCTGCAGTAGGTTCTTAGTGGATCATGGTAAATATTTCTTGTATAGGATGTTGCATTCAACTAAACAATATAAATTACATTTTGGATATTTGGATTGTAGTTTGTGGTTTTCTAAACTCTGACAAAAAAATTTCTATTGATGGCTGGTTGTTTAACATTCTAATTTTTTTCAGGGTTAAAAAGGGTCACCAATTGTTTCTTGCTTCACTTGATGGAGTTTGGCCCTTTGAAGCTTACTGATCCTTCGAAGATTGGTGGGCTGTTGAACGGGTTGAAAACTATGAGGATGAATAACCCCTTTTGGCAGTCTTTATGGTGAATCTATGTTTTTTAACATTCCTCAGCTTTTGGCTATGTTTGTGACTGTGAATGTATCTGAAATACGTGTGAGGATGTTTTGTACCATATATGTGAGGATGTTTTGTAACATATCTCAATTTGTGTTGCAAGTGTAACATATATGCGAGGATGTTTTGTAATATGCGAGGATGTTTTGTAACATATAGGCGAGGATGTTAAAATTGGTCATTGTTAAAATTTGTTTGATCTCTCAACTTGTGACTGAATTTAGTGGTGAGTTTGTAGCATATTTCAGCTTGTGATGGTGTTTGTGATTGAAAATGTACCGTGTTAAGTGTAGAGGATGTTTTGTAACATATCTATGTTTTGTGATTGAAAGTGTAGCGGGTTATACTGTAAGTGTAGCGGGTTACACTGTAAGTGTAGCGGGTTATCGTGTAAGTATAGCGGGTTATCGTGTAAGTATAGCGGGTTATCCTGTAAGTATAGCGGGTTATCGTGTAAGTGTAGCGGGTTATCCCGTAAGTGTAGCGGGTTATCATGTAAGTGTAGCGGGTTATCGTATATGTATAGCGGGTTATCGTGTAAGTGTAGCGGGATACACTGTAAGTGTAGCGGGCTATCATGTAAATGTAGCGGGTTACATTGTAAGTGTAGCGGGCTATCCTGTAAGTGTAGCGGGTTACACTGTAAGTGTAGCGGGTTATCCTGTAAGTGTAGCGGGTTATCCTGTAAGTGTAGCGGGTTATCTTGAAAGTGTAGCGGGTTACACTGTAAGTGTAGCGGGTTATCTTGAAAGTGTTATCGTGTAAGTGTAGCGGGTTATCCCGTAAGTGTAGCGGGTTATCCCGTAAGTGTAGCGGGTTATCCCGTAAGTGTAACGGGTTATCCCGTAAGTGTAGCGGGTTATCCCGTAAGTATAGAGGGTTATCCCGTAAGTGTAGCGGGTTACACTGTAAGTGTAGCGGGTTATCTTGAAAGTGTAGTGGGTTACACTGTAAGTGAAGCAGGTTATCCTGTAAGTGTAGCAGGTTATCCTGTAAGTGTAACGGGTTACACTGAAGTATAGCGGGTTATCGTGTAAGTGTAGCGGGTTATTGTGTAAGTGTAGCGGGTTATCCTGTAAGTGTAGCGGATTATCGTGTAAGTGTAGCGGGTTATCCTGTAAGTGTAGCGGGTTATCCCGTAAGTATAGCGGGTTATCCCGTAAGTATAGCGGGTTATCCCGTAAGTGTAGCGGGTTATCGTGTAAGTGTAACGGGTTATCCTGTAAGTATAGCGGGTTATCCCGTAAGTGTAGCGGGTTATCCTGTAAGTGTAGCGGGTTATCCCGTAAGTGTAGCGGGTTATCGTGTAAGTGTAGCGGGTTATCCCGTAAGTGTAGCGGGTTACACTGTAAGTGTAGCGGGTTATCTTGAAAGTGTAGCGGGTTACACTGTAAGTGTAGCGGGTTATCCTGTAAGTGTAGCGGGTTACACTGTAAGTGCAGCAGGTTATCCTGTAAGTGTAGCGGGTTACACTGTAAGTGTAGCGGGTTATCGTGTAAGTGTAGCGGGATACACTGTAAGTGTAGCGGGCTATCATGTAAATGTAGCGGGTTACATTGTAAGTGTAGCGGGCTATCCTGTAAGTGTAGCGGGTTACACTGTAAGTGTAGCGGGTGCGACAGGTTATCCTGTAAGTGTAGCGGGTTATTCTGTAAGTGTAGCGGGTTATCCTGTAAGTGTATAACACTCATAAAATTTCACAAAATAGCACTCACAAAATTGCCAAAATTGCACAAAATTCCAGTCTTACAAACTCCAAAATTGCACAAAATTCTACAATAACGAAATTGCACTATCAACACTTTCATTATCTACTTTCAAAAACTTACAATCTAAAACAATATGTTACAAATCAAACTCCAAAATTACACAAATCTTCAAGGAAAACTCCAAAATTTCACAATCTTCAAGACAAGCTCCAGAACCGCCCCAAGCTCCTCCCTGTCCCGTTGACGCCCTCGACCACCGCCGCAATCACCTCGTTGACGCCCAAACCGCTGCCCTCCATCACCCGCCACCCAGGTCCGTCCAAGCCTCGACGCCAAGCTTCCCCAGATCCATGCTCCGCGCCCTAACACCTCTCCCCCACCACACCGAGCACCACCTCCGTTCACCACCTCCCTCAACGCTACCTCCGGCCTCCTCCGCCACCCGCAACGCCGCTCACCCTTGCCTTCTTCCCCGAACCCGACTCACCGCCCACTCCATCTCCTCTGTTCACCTTCCTCAGCCACGCCAAAACAACCCGCCAAGCCCAACGCACCGGCCAGCCCGCGTCTCCCTTGCCCACCACCTCCGCCTCCATCGCTGCCTCCTCAAGCCGCGCCTCCACCGCAAGATCCTCGCCGCCTGCCGCGCCTTCCAGAGGTGGGATCGGAGGAGGAAGACAAAGACTTGAGGAAGAAGGAAAATGAGGAGAGAGAAGGGGGGCTGGTTTAAGTAGGGTATTGAAAGGGGTATTTTGGGGATTTTATCATGTTGGTGTATAAATACAAGTGCTGTATATACTGTATTTTAGAAATTGGGTTTAAAGACAAAAACAAAAAGAAAATTGGGTTTAAGAATACAAAAAATAATGATTGGGTTTATAGGTAAAGATAAGTAAACAAATGGGCCTAGAAATAAAAAACCCTAAAAAAAAACTACAAAGCATCCAAAAAAAAAAAAACATGAAAATGAGATATTATTATATCACCACCTACACATGGTCTCAATAATTTTGTCTCGATAATTTAAAGACATAGTGGATATAATCTAGTGGCTGCGATCCATCCATCAGAATAATTGAGGAGGAGGAGTTATATATGAAAAGCGAAGGGAGAGGGATTATCGCGGAGCTATGAATAGCGTAATAAGCGGGAGGGCCTCATTCTCCCATTACCCTCTCTCCATCAAAACCCTCAACAAACCCTACCCCTCTCGACAT